CCCGCCTACTATCCTCGGAAACGTAAAATGATTGGCTAGAATCTAAAGTGTATCACAGCTCAGGAAAAATAAGCACCGAAATAAAGCACCGAAATGTGCACTGCTTTTCGGTCTGGTTACTACCGTTGCCATCATGGCACCGGATACCGGTACCCATCCCTAGTCTCGACCCTCTAACTTTTCATTGAATCCTCTTCCTGCATATTCAGAGCTGAGATCCCGAGGATTACTGGTATTTTAAAGAAACTAAGGATGAAGCTATGAGAAGCGTTCACTCTGAATGGCAGAATGTTGTGATTGTTACGTAACACATGTCTGCAAAGGACAGTGGTCTCAGAGCCTATGTGGTTGAAAGGCCGTCTGCTTTGGTGGGATTCACACTGTGCTGTGGCATCTCAGCTCTGTGAGTGTGAGGTTAGTGGGATGAGATTAAACTCTCCTTTCAAATCTCAGTTTAGCCTTTTATTTAAACCTGCAGTTTCCTTTCAGAGTGTATTCGTAGTGAAGACTTCACACGCTTCGAGTTCAGGACTGATGTGTTTATTTGGCAGCTGGGTGGGGGTGGGGGGTGTTGTCAGTCGTGGTAACACCTCGTGACCCTCTTGGAGAGCATTTGTTGACGGAAAGTGTAGGAGGAAGGTTTTCCTGCCTGCTGGATTTGGCTGCTGCATATGCTGCAGTGGATTACACTGATCCAACTTAATGCCTCAGACGTGCAATCATAACTACAGGAGCTGCTGAGGGCACAGCCGTGGACGCTCGCAGCACCATCTGCTGCCACCACTGGTGGATTAACTTCGAGGAAGATGGTGTAAGGTGGGGGTGGGGGCACATGCAGACCCTGAGCTGTCGACCACCCTGCAGAAGCCCTCTTACTCTCAGCTTCTTTCCTATCCACACAAACCTTCACACACTGGTTTATAATCTGTGGAGTAAAAAATCGGACAAAGTTCCATTTCTCCCTCCCGGTTTAAACATTCATGCACAATCAAGGACACACAGAAGATACAACACAAAGAGGAAACTAGCTCGCCACCAAGCTAACATTGTTAGCTGGCATTAGCTGAAGTTAGTTCATAGATTGCAGACTGTTAGACTTGATGGATAGCATTAA